TACATCACACATGTGCAGAAACTTGTATGTACCACAGTAAAGTACGTGACTCTAAACAACACCCACTGTAAACAAAGAGCTCACTTAGAACACACTTTCATTGTAGTGGTCAAATGCTACAAGAGAGACTCCAACTTATTCTAGTCAAGTGGATAATGGTCCTATGCTAATACGTATGATGTCATAATTATGTCAACCTTGAGCGACTCCACGAGGTATTCTGATGGAGGCTCCTCTGTGGGCCACTCCCCAGAAGAACTGGTCAATGTGAGCTGTCTCGTGAAGACCTGTCAGTCTACGACTGTTGTCTACTCCCTGGGTCGGAGAGGAAGAGGGGAGGGAGGAAAATAGGAGAGAGAAGGAATGATTGAAAAACTGGTTACATACTAGTTCACCACCATTCCATAAACCCAGGCTCCATGAACTTGCCATTCGTACAGTATAATGCAGACTACTGTTAGCGAGTGATGAAGTGATAAAAGTGCCTGATTATCACCAAACTTCCCTTCCTTACTCTCATCGCCCCCTCCCTCTCTCCCCTCCACTCACTCCACTGGGGTCATAGAGTATGATGTGTTCCTTGTGTCTCTTCTCCAGTCTCTGAATGGCCTCCTCCATCACCTGCAGCACACACACACAATTACATTCTTGTCTCCTATTGTTATGTGTACTGTGCATATCGTCTGGGAAATGGAAATGCTGATGTCTAGGAGGTACATACAAACAGACACGTATTAGTTAACGTACAGGCGGCGAGGCGGTACAGGAGATACTCCGAGGCTGTTGACTATACCGGACGAGGGCGTAGCCCGAGGCGCGGTATAGTTAACAGCCGAGGAGGATTTCCTGTACGCGCCAAGACGCCTGACGTTAACTGATTTGTAGTCCAACTAGCCAATCACAATGCTGAATTTCTGCTGCGTCATTCCGCACTAATGTACTAATGACTGTTGTGTAAACTTTGGAAGCCAGATAGTTTGCACTACGCCTAGCGCTAGATGTTGTGATAAGGACTTCCTGTCCAATACTGATACCGGTGCAGCCCGCAGCCCACAGCTCAGAATACAGCGTAAGGTAGATGTTGGTATTTTGAGCCACCTAAACTTTCTTCTTAATTTTTGCTACAAATACCGGTGAATTAAAGTGAAATTTATGTTACATGACTATCAAGACATGGCGATTCTAAAAATCAAATCGGTTTCAGAATATATTCACAGTAGGTAATGCAAAATATTTGTTTTATAACCCTCTAAAAGCAGCAATTATGAGTCAGTGATGGTATTATGAGTCGACTTAAAACGTATTCTTTGATGAAGCAAACAGTTGCCCAGTCGTGTTTCACAATAATTACTTAGATATACAAAAAAGCAAAAAACCACAAATTAATCATAATTTGACCAAAACATTCATTTAAAACCTCCCCCAAATTAAACTCTTTGAGTCAGTGATGCAATCATTGTGACCTCTTGACTTTTGGCTATTTTGTCGCAAAAGTAACCCGCAGCACGTGTTAAAATGTGGCGACGATTTGCTGGGCTAACGTCCTTACAGTAGGAAGCAGTTACACAGTGTTTGGCAGCTTTTTGGAATATTTACCCATAATACCCCCTCACTCATAATACCAACACTTACCTTATATTCCTAGCACCGGGTTGTTTGAAGTTGGACTACAAATCTCATTGTTGGCTCTGCCCAGTACTGTATGTGTGTGCATGTGGGCTAGGGCCCTAGTGCTACTTGTCCAAACCTTTGAATCTTGCAAAACATAACCAAAACAAAATGTGTCCTACAATGTGACGTAATAACAGAGCCTTGGAAGTACCTTAAAGTTAAGTATAGTCCCAGTGACAAAGGTAATGAGATGAGAGAGGTGGTATAGACATACCTTCATGCCATTCTCAGCCTTCATTCTGGAGGTGCTGAAGTTGCAGTGGCCTCCAGCCCCGTTCCAGTCTCCTGGCATGGGTTTGGGGTCCAGTGTCACTATCACTCCGAAATCCTCCGCCACACGGTGCAAGATGTACCTGCAGCCACATACAGTGAATGAAGTGAGATCTATTTGATATTTTTGTGGTGACAGTGTTTATCCTTAACAAAAAGTTGGGGCTGAAACAATAAAGGTATGTGAGGTTTGCACATAAATCTACAGATAGTCTGTGAAGCAAGCAACACAAAGTTTAAAAGGTGCCTTGTGTGGAACTTTGACAACTGAGCACAAAGTCTACAGCACACTACAAGGCAAGGTTGAACCCTTGTTCCCAGGCCTTCCTCACAACTATATAGGGTGTACATTTTGAGCTGTCAAACATACCTCAATACAAGATCAAGACACGAAAGGGCATATACACACATCAGGCACACTGGGTATACCACTACCTTTGAAATCTCTCTAGTTATACATAACACTGGAGTATGTACAGACCTGGAGATCCATAGTTCATCTCCCATGGCGGTCCCCGGACAAGGTCCAACCTGGTACTCCCACTGAGCTGGCATCACCTCTGCATTGGAGCCACTCACACACAGCCCTGCGTACAGACAGGCCTTGTAGTGGGCCTCTGATATCTGAGTACAGTGGGACACAAAACACCACGTGATAGACATGACAGTTACGTGGGCACATGTGTAAAATGGCCTATCATCAATGCACAAGGCACTTTCTTTTTAGGTTCTTCAGATAAACTATGGCTTACTAACCAAACAGAAGAAGGAACAATTCACAGTACATGATACACTGGTTAAACACACAGTAAGTATGCTATAAGGAAACAGGGCTAGGGGTTAGACTAGACCATGAAACAACAGAAAACAGTAAACCATGACTTAATGAAGCAATGCCCCTTTTTACCTGGACACTGTTACCTTTAGCATAGTGATTGCCAATCTCCTCTTTTAATTGGGACTACAATGTGCTCACTTGATCCACTACAGGTTGATATGTATCATCACAGTGTATGTGTCACAAGGCCGGCGATGCATGCGCGCAAAACGACAAAAAGGGGGGTTCCGCAGAACCAGAGGATCTGCCACTGTGTGTGTGTGTGTGTCAATGTGGGGTGGGGGCAGACCTGTCTCCCAAAGACGTTGGTGGCTCCCACGGCACAGTAGTAGGGACCTTGCTGTCCAGGGTAGCCCGACTTTGGCCAGCCAAACGGGTGGCCATCGTAGTCCAGTAGAGTGTACTCCTGCTCTATGGCAAACTCTGGGTTCTCCTCATCCATCACTCTGACACACAGATACGTACATTAGTAGAACAGTATATAACTGGAGAGTGAGGCTGAGCCTACGTATGTAGTGGTCTGAATTGCTGAGTGTATACTGCATTGTATCATACTGTAACAAGTTGTTCATGTAAGTCCCGGAAAGTTTTCACTTGTTGTGATTGCTCACCAAAAATGTATTGCTTTCAATCGTTTTTGTGACGGAGTTTTCACGTAAAGTAAACTACGCACATTCTATCAGGTTTAGTTTGTAGAGAGTGTGTGGGTGTTTCACTTCCACGTGTCAACAAAAAGGTGAGACGTAGAATGGCAAGGGAAAAGCAAACAAGTCAACTACATGTAACATGGTGACCTCCAGTAGTACACACCTCTCCATTATCCTGTCACAAGAGTATCTCTTGTTGGTTGGGTGAGGTGTCCCGTCCTTGGCATATGTCTCACACATCACTAGGATACTGTTACCCTGCACAACAACCACAGAATTTCTGTACAACAACCACCGAATTTCTAGTCCATAGCTTAGCAATAACATCACATAATCCTATGAAGTAAATTATGTCAATGAAGAACAAGAACAAATGCCTACATAAACATGATGCACTGACTAAAGCCAATATGTACATGGCACATGTCAAAGGTCTAATGCAACCATAGTACCTGGGTAGCTATGATAGCCCATGAAACATGTTGCATGACAAAAGGAGTGTTGTCTATTGCATGAAACATGCAGACACATCATACCCATACATTTACGTTGCATGAGACCATCAATGTTGGCCTTCTCTCATACATTAGGATGCTGAGATTGATCACCAAATACATTAACACTAGTTATAGAGGTTAATGCAGACCAGGAAGAAAGGGTCTCTATAGAAGTTGACTGGTTTCAGGAGAACGTCACTGTCATGACCTTTGGCCTGGGAAGTGCTGTGAGGATATGATTAAAGTGAGGGAAGGAGGAGAAAGGTGGTGATGTCATGGCAAATGTGCAAGACGAGCTTGTATACTTATATAGCAGTCTGAATGCAAGAGAGACACAAGATAGTGAAAACTTAGAGCTAGAGCACAGGCACCTAGACTGCAGAGTGTCGTGGGTATGAATGCAGTTTTTAAATTTAATCTGTAACAGCCACAGCGCACTGCAAATGCCATAATGTTCTATTATTCTAAAATAAGGTGTGAAACAAAGTTCGAAAAAAATGGGAAATTGTCACACTCAGACACTCCAGAATGATTTAAAGAAGGCGTTTGCGCGGCTCGGAAACGGTTGCGTGGATGCTCGAGCTCTTTACTTCGTGTGGCTTTAGATTCAGCCTCAGGCCCAGTTCGTAGGACTGGTTCTGTGCTGGGAGTAGCTCCTCCAGTACTTTGACGGCATCGTTTGGAGTCAGGACCTCGCCACCCGTCGTCGGTGCTGTGTACATTGGGATAAGCTACGGTGATCAACTGTAAATCAAGGATCAAGGTCATTGGCCTTCGGCCATTATTATCTGCACACACAGACGGACCGGGCAGGGCTTGTAAGATCATACACGCATGCGCATATTTCAGCACTGATTTTGAACAACGGTTCTCCTACATCCCCTGTCCATTATAGTCTCCAGACTTGGTTCGCTAAACTAGAGCAAGATGGTGTCTACACTTGTATCAGCGACGTGGCTGAGGCAACAGGTGGTTAATGGACTGAAGAACATCAGAATACTAGACGTTGGGTGAGAGATGCTACACACTCTATGATGTTGCTAAGCTGTCTACAATCACTTGTGTTCAGCCTCGTGGACCATGTCGGGAGAGGGGAGGGCGGCCTTCCTGGGTGAGAGATTGGCAGGAGCCAGCACTTTGACATTGACGAGGTGTCAGAGCAGAGTTCTCCCTATCCTCACATGATCCCTTCCCCTCACCGCTCCAGACCCTCGTACCCAAGGCCAGGGGCCACTCTCTCATGGAACACTACTCTCACATTGCATTGTGTAATGGACACATGGATTTCTGTACTATAGCACAGAGTGTTTGAGGTGCCTTATATTTCATGAGCCATGCCTGCTGGTTTATTGCATACTATATTGCTCGGTGTGTGGAGCACTCAGTTAAAGAAGTGTTAGTCTCACAAACCACACCCTCTTTCCTTGTATGACAGGTTTGCTTGGGAGACTAAGAAGATTATCGTTGTTTCGAGGGCACTTTTTTTACTCTTCCTTGTCCTGAATGCATTTGCCTTGCGCTGACAGCCACTGATTATTATTAGGTTCATTTAGTTAGTATGAGAGCTAATGCATGCTGTCATGGTGAACACAGACATTGCTGTGTACTATTCCATGTGTCCAGATGGGAGTGGGTAGTGGAGATCATGTGGTGGTGTATGATGGACACAGTGAGGGACTGATGGCCTCTGCTAGAGTCTGGTGATGTTCAGAGTCAGTTCTCTCTCCTTCTCCTCCTCTCCTATGGCCTCCATCACTGCAACCTTGTTACTTAGCTTCTATGTAAGGTCCGTGCAGCATGTTGCTTGAAATTAGAAGTGTTGTCTATTGCACACGACCCATCATGCAGACTATATTGATGTTGCATGCACTGACGTGTGTGTGTGTGTGTGTGTGTGTGTGTGTGTACAAACAAACAAGAGCTAAGGTACGGGAGACTAGAAAAGTGGTAGAATATGCAGCAAGACCAGTAGTGTATGTTCATGGTATTTGTGCACATTGAGATTACTTACTCTAGCTGTCTTCTCGATCTCTGCTACTATTTCTTTTAAGAGACCTAAGCGTATATTATGTTAGCGTGTCATATTATGTTCTGCTCCACAGTTGTTTGGTCACGAGAGCGTGTCATGTGCTGGATGGGGTCTGAGGAGAGATAAATTAGTGCATAGATCGCTACCCTACCTACAGATTATGCCAAGGATGGCTCTGATGATGGACCCATTTCACTGAAGTTTTGGCCATGAATGTGATGTATGATAGTCTACATGGAAATCTTTCTTTTGGTATAGCAGTTTGATGTGTGTAAGCTTGATCCATACCTCTTTCAGTGGTCCACTCCTGTGGTACACGTTGGCTCAGGTTGTAGATGGACGTAGCAGTTGCCAGTTCAAGGTGAGATCCCGGAGCCCCGCCCCTCTCTGCCAGTGGCGGGATGAAGGGAGCAGTCAACCTCCACGCACAGCAGACTACTGGATGTATCCGTGGGTACTGTCAAGACAGATGCCTTCTGGCTCAGTCTACTGTAACATTGTCATCATTGTCATCATTCTCATAATCTTTAACCACAAGTTTGTTGCTAGAAAACCTGATACCTTTTTAAATCAGTTAACTGATTTGTCAGCATATAGTCATGCTACCTCATCAGTGGAACTTGTTATAATGGCCCTTCTCAAAAGCGAGAAGCACAAGCAAGCATAGCAGAGGTAAACTAAACCGCTGAAAAGTTGTGTGTCCCAGTCTTCTTGAGTAGATGGACGCAGTAATAGATCTGTAAGTTACAGTGTACAGTAAAATATAGAACTTTGGTTGCACGTCTAGGATAGCTATTGCTCTTTCTTAGCCAAGAGTGCCCTGTCCTAACATAAAACGCGGCTGGAGTGGACTTAAACCCAGCCAGTGGTTGCCACATGTGGTAGTGGTGTCACTGCAGCTATCATTGCTCTACGCATGCACACTCTCTCAAAACACCACCATCCCTCTCTTGATGTAAGATGATCACTACTACACATCGTCTCTCTGTATGATAGATATCATCGCACACACATATAGGACCCTGTCTTTTGTAATAGTACCTTCTTTGTAGTAAGCACATCCCAGCACTATTCTGTTGCGTGAGATACGGGCAACTGTATCATGTGTATAGGCTGTGACACAAAGTAGAAGGCAACTACCTTAATGGAAACATGTTGCATGGTTTTTTGAAGTCGCAACAAGTATATCATTGACGGGGGAGTGCAGTATAACCAAGCTTTGCTGATGTAGCCTATGTAAAAGCCCAAAACACTTCTCCAGAGCCATGTCTCCTTACGAAATACTGAGACCATCACCAAAAACAGCGTTGTTGTTGATGTTGTTGTTGTTGTTGTAGGGGTCATGGAGTGAGTGGAGACAGAGAGCTCCTCTCCAGACAGTGACAACTGGAGTTACTCAACTACCAAACAACACTCCATCCTAGTTACTAGTTACAATGTACCATCCTCCTTACATTATGCTTGTCACTGTAACAATAATATAATGGTGTATATTGAAAAGTTGTACAATGATTCACCAGTCACCATCTAAATTGATATTTTTTTGTACCGTGAATATTGCAGTGTGGCAGGGGAGGTTTTGTAGCAGTTCTATGCATTAATAATGTTCTGTGCTATCATACATCGAATAAGTTCTGTTTATATCGTCCAGTGCGAGTAAGTATGTTTATGCGTCATAAAAAGGTTGTGCACTAACGTAGTTGTAACTGTGTGCTGTAGTCTAGTCTTTCACTTTGGCGGTGTTGTCAGTAGATACTGTACACATCTTTGGTTGTTGGCTCTGGCCTGTCAGAGCATGTCTCCAAACTGTAAGAGGAGACATTCATCAGACATGAAGAGAGAGAGAGAAGATAGCCAACTATACTATAGAGACAGGCAGAGAGAGATTCCATCAGGATAGACGTAGGACACTCTTTTCACTTCATGTTTAGAGTTGGTACCTTATTAGGATGTCTCTGGCTCAGCTCCTAGCAGTAGTTTCACCACCCTCTGAGTGACCTTCCCATCCCTGCATTGAGCAAGGCTGTGCTCCACTCTGTGTGGAGAATATATACGAGAAATGAGGCAATACTCAATGCAAACACTTCAAGGTGACACTTTGATAATCAACAAGTAAGGTAAATGGGGGTAACTTCGGACACTGGGTAATACACGACATAACCGCTATTCAGAAACACAGAGAAAGATTCGGATATATTATTTCACTTGATTGCCTACCTCACTACCAAAGCGCTAACACACTTCACATTGTTTTGCGCAGCGAATATTTCAAGGCGTGGTTACACCCATGTCCGGAGTACTCCACACACCAGAAAGACGGAGTTACGCCCACGGTTCGTTAGAGAGTCGGTAGACTCTCTATATAGGGATGACCGGGTGAAATCTCACGTGATCCGCGTACAAAACGACTAAAAACTCGGAGAGAATCACTCCCTAGGCCTTCCAAACATACTAGCAATAGTCTACGGGCCCATATCTACCTACACATGTCCCCCAAGACCTCATACGCACCTCCAGTCGTCCACGGGAGAATTCGCTCATACGCGATTTCACGATTTTTGTGTCATCATATTCTTCTTCTTCTTCTTCTTTAAACCCGCTATCTCCTTACCAGTACCAGTTCAAGCACTGATTTTTTCACTGAAAGTCTCCAATTTCGCCGGAGGTGTGCACGGACATCTCGTTTCTTTCTTGCCGCTAGTCACTACTGTAGATCATGGAGCTCTTCCTTGGTCGACACTGAACAACGCCATTTGCTGCTTACTCAGCATCGGTGAGCCTCGCGCATGCGCGAGGCAGGGGCATTGTCCAATGCGCTTGCGAGCGTATTACCAGGCGAGTTGGCAGACCTGCAGAGAAACTCTCAACCTCCAGTACCTTCTGTAAGTAAGTGTGCATATTTCCAACTGGCTAGCTTGCTGTTCATTTGCACGAAGAGCAACTTGCCAGAGTCTACGCTGTGTTACCGGGGCACTCAGTCAAACGGGCCTTCATTGTTTGTCCCCCAGGTTGTAGCCTGATTACCAAAGCCTGCCCATGAAACCACAACCATGTGCAATAATCTAATTACATCCTTGTTGAAGACAATACCTGAGGTGAATGCGGTATCTAGCCCCTGCTTCAGGCACCATATAGCTAGCTACTACTTTCAACAGTTACAATTTGTCTATGGTAGCCTATCTACAACATACCCATGAACATCAGAGTGACTATAACAATAAATGTAGTGTTGTCATAAGCTGCTAAAAAAATAGAGGAAACAAGTGGAAAAATCATTTATTCAAAATGAAAGGGGGATATAGGGATGGCTTGAAGCACCAAAAAGGAAAAAACAAGGGGTCATTACACAGCAAAGTTGCACAAAGCTACATGACACCATCCGTATATCTTTGCTTTATTGTTTATAAGCAAAGTTTAACCCTTTGGACACCATGGGTATCTCTTAAATAAGCAGAAATTGATGTATAATATATTAACGCCTAGTATTATAGACATAATAATACATTCTTATGGACTTATGGAGGCTCTGGGCATATACATGCTCGTGGCTTGCTAAGGGTTAATATCGAACAAAGATATAGAGATGGTGTCATGTAGCTTTGTGCAACTTTGCTGTGTAATGACCCCTTGTTTCTTCCTTTTTGGTGCTTCAAGCCATCCCTATATCCCCCTTTCATTTTGAAGAAATGATTTTTCCACTTGTTTACTTTATTATTACTGTGTAACTACACCTGAGCTGTCATCATTACCAAGAGAGAGTGGAAAGACACGAAGGAGAGAGAAGAAAGATAGGTGTGTATGTATATACTGTAAGTGTAGACAACCAAAACACACACCTTGTTCTGGTGGTTGACGTTGGCTCCTGCCTCCAACAGTCTCTGAACTGTCTCAGTATGTCCTTTCTGGGCAGCTATCCCCAGAGGAACATCTGCCACCCTGATGAGAGAGAAGGTCACCCATCACCGACAGTACCAGGGAAATACAACTGTTACACATACATCTCAACCCCAATTGACCTGAGAGCATGATAAATGCATTGGTAAGCAGGACAGCGAGACGAAGAGACAATTAGCGGGACAGTCCTCACTGATTCGGGACGCTTGAGACCTAAGCTATTGAAGGTCTAACTCACGTTTAAACATCAAAAGCTAATGTATAAAGGTCTGTCACCAGTCAGCAGTAAGTATCAGTATGTGGAGGCTGTAGATATAATATTAGGTAAATTCGCTTTTGACATGTGAGTTTGACCTTCAAATTGGAAAATGGGCCCAAAGAGTACTACTGTCAAATGGCTTGGACTTGTGTAAAATATTGATGTATGCCTTAGCTTTAAAGTTCTTTTAACTACGGTCCCAGTCAGAAAAAACGCACCAAAAATACAAAGTGGTTTCTACACCCTACTACACTACAAAAACGTACTCTAGTGTAATTACAATATACTCTGAGCCCAGAGTTTTTCTAAGTGTAGCTACGCCGTAGCTACAACTTCTACAAAATACAATGACACGTGCGCGTAAACGAGATCGTAGTTTTACTACGATGGACTTCAAGAGCGTAGTTTTATTACGAGTCTATAACATACATGGCGGTCAGTCACCTACTTGAGACAACGGTCAGTCACCTACTTGAGACAA